TGATAAACCTACTGTATGATGTATTATAGTGCTGGGCAGTATGGCCGAAATTTTATGTCATGGTATTTTTAACAATTAAACTGGTGTCACAGTGTTTTTCTTTTCAGGCACATGTGTCTTCACATTTTCTACTGATTGAAAGGGATATTACTGCAGTAAAGTAGCTAGGAATACTACTGTCGTGTCCACACATTTATTATTTCATGCTTTCTAGAAGTGATAGTTTTCAGGACATTGTCATTAATGATTTACCTTTTCTTTATGCTCTTGGTACAATGCGCAGATTGCTATGTGGCCAGAATATTTGACTTGGTACAACATAGCAGTTATCCAGTATTTTGACCACAGCTCTGAAACTTTTTTTCCCCACGGTTCATAACGGGACCATGCAGCAACAACTTTACCTCGACAGACATCGCAGTAGCATCGTTTGAATAACGTCCAAGCTTTTAAAACTGAAGTACTACCACTCAACAGAAACTGCCCGCTTTCTAGACACAAGTTCTTCTTGAACATTACTGCCAACTGTTATGTCTGCCTCTGCTTCTCTTTCCATACGTTCTGTGTTCATTTTACCATGCTTGACACCTTCAACAATGACACTAGCTTGCCTTCTGCGGCTCTATTTATTGCATGTGCGTTCAGCGATGCAGCAAGGAAAAAAGTCCCCGTGAAGCAGTTGTTTGGTGGGTGTGATGTTCTGAATGTTGGTCAGGCCATTTAAACTGGTATGCCATACAGAAAAATCAACAACACAAACAAAAAAACAAAAAATAACAATTAAAAAAACTGTTTTCTGTACAAACCGGTATACAGCCCAGCTCTATTAAATGAACTGAAAGTTGTCACTGATGTTTCTTCATATTTACAGTATCAACAATACCACAATACCATTGCAGTGAAGTATTGCAGCCATGAAAGAAAAGCCCTCTGAAAATACTGCATGGCATAGTAGAGTTTGTCCACGTGATAGGGTTTCTTTCAACGTTGTTTTGTCTGAGCGCAGTGCCTCTGTTGTATGGACTAATCTCTGTGTCATTCTACTAATCTTGACCATCTTTTTAAATGGCATTTGACCAGAATGAGCAGCTTAGTGGCATCTGTCAAGCCCAATCACCCGCTCCCCAGCCTTTTCTTCCCACCTGTCGAGTAGTAAATAGAAGTGAAGTTTAAAAAGAAAAAGGAAGTCACTGCTGAAAGTGCAATGTCAGGTGACTAGTGGGCTTTTGAAGACAGGAATCATCAAAGTATTTTTCTTAAACTCTTTTATAGCTCTGTTGTTTTCTTTTCTCTGCAAGCAAACCATTTGATTGGCTTCTTATAGACTCAAACTCTTGTTGTCTTATCACCCAACAAACACAACATTAATTTAAGTTTGCTGCATTTCCATTTCGTCTAGTTTATTTATATATAATTCCTTTGTTGGAATAATTCTTTGGCAAGGCGGCAAAGCCAACTGCATCTATTGTTTGAGCTACAACTACTCCTATGTTGTTGAGCCAGGTGACCTGAGAATGAACAGTGGGAGTGAGCCTCAAGGCCTTCATGTCACTCCCATGCACTTTGTTGGGTGATTTGTCAGAACGACCCGGCTAACGCCTCTGTGCACTCGTGACTTGTGTGTGGAACACAATGTTTGCTGTTAGGACAGTATGTCGACACAATAAATGGTGCCTCTCTGAGGTCCAGTAAAAGAGCTGTCCTTTTCCTGTTTGACGAGCACACAATATGATGTTGTTTGTGACGGACGTGTCATTATCCTCATGGTCAATCAATTTGATTTTCCTGTGCTAGATGAATTCAATTTATGTTGACAGGAATAGAGGAAGTTTGGATTGTAAAACAAAAATACTTACTATTATACTGTGACCAGTGTAGTATAAGACTTATGGTGTGCTTATTTTTCGTGTATAGTTGTGAAATCTTTGCTTATGGATAATAAAGAGGCATAAAATTGAAGTTGGGAAAATACTCACAAGGCCTGTTTTGTCTTTTGCATGTTTCTCTATCAGCAAAGCTACTCTGCGTCCTGATGTATGCAGGATTTGCATACATCTTTGCTGTAGGCTGGTTAGCTTGAACCTGCTCTTTTATCCCCCAAGTTTTCTTATTTATTGCAAGCATGAACTCGGACAGAATATTCTGTTTTACGTATTCTAAGATGTCTGTGTCTATATTTTTCAGGTGAGCATCAAAGCAGCAGCCATTGAGCAAACCAGTGAGGTGAATCAGGCATGAGTGCGGACAGCCATCCGGAGGTAGTGACCACTCCTCCGCCACCTGGTGGGGGGGCCAAGGAGCGCTACTTCGACCGGGTCAATGTCAATGATCCGGAGTACATCAGAGCCAGGAACATGTCGCCGGACCTCCGACAAGATTTTAACGTTCTGGAGCAGAAGAAACGGGTCACACAGATACTACAAAGTCCAGTAAGTAGGAAGAGGGAAACTTGCAGCCCATTCAGAAAATGTTACTTATACAGTACATATGGTTGAAAACCGGTTCATTGTTCAGTGTGAATTTTCTTTTACTTTTGTCAGTTTAGGCGAGAATAATCACATGTTTCAAATCTGTGCTAGAGTTAAAAGACACACTGATTACAGCAGAGAAGAGCAAAAATCAACAAGCACGTTTTACTTTACTTCCTGGTTAAGAAAAAAAAACATGAAGGTGAAAGGCAGCATGAGATGTTTTTACAGCCTTAGATTTAGATTTTAGGAACTACAGTTCTTACAACTTTTCTTACTATACTGTGTTTTATATGGTACATTGCTGGGCAAGCTGTTCTGCAGTGACTGTAAAGATGAACCCCTCTGAGCTGCCTCTGATTAATCATAAACAACACTAACCAAGTGTGCTGTGTCCCTCAACTAAACTTAGCACAAAAAAAGTAAGGAATTTTGTGTTTGGTCGATTTTTTGTTGTTGTTGTTGTTGTTAGGGCTGCAACGATTAATCGATTAATCGACGACTAATCGATTATTAAAATAATCGATGACTAATTTAATAATCGATTAATCGTTTTCTTTTCTTTTTTTTTTTGTTGTTCTTTACTTTGTTTTTCTCTCCAAACTGCTTTGACACCTTCCACTGCCACATCTGCCTTTCTCTCCTTGGCACACATGCACAGTAGTGGTAACTGGGGTAGGCCGTGGACGTCACAAGACATTATACAGACAGGCTCTGGTATCATGGCTACCCAGCAATGGAGCTCAGAAGTGTGGGATCTTTTTAAGAAAATGAAAGAGAAACCTGTACAATATCCGCTGAGCAGAACTTGCCTTCCACAGCAATTGTTTTTAGTTAGCATATAGCTAAAATCTAACGATGGTTATATAGTAGAAGCAGCATTCTGGCGTGATAAGCTGTATGTTTTATATTCAATTAACGTATGATCCGATTAGTCGACTAATCGAATAAATAATCGGYRWTTAATCGATTATTAAAATAATCGTTTGTGGCAGCCCTAGTTGTTGTTGTTGTAAAAATGCTTCTTGGTAATTAGTGGTGTTACATTTGTAAGGAACATGCATTTGTGGGATGAGCGGTAGAGCTTAGTATGTGGGTTGCGTACATGAAAAATTTGCCAAATCTCCTCTGCCAAACAGCTTATTTTGCTGTTTCTATTGACACCCTGGTACCCCTCGGTGCTACGAATTATGGGATTTATTGCCAAAAAGCATTGCTACAACTAATAAATAATCTACCAAACACTAACTTCCTTATGCTTTGTGCTAAATATGTATATATTCTACACAGATTCATCTTGCATCGTGACAGCAGTATATAACAGAGTGGCTGTGGTGGAGTGGTTAGGTCGTCCCATAACCGGTAGGTTGTCGGTTTGATCCTCCGTTCCAGCCGTCTCGGTCCAGCTCACTGTTTTTTTTACAGAGGCCCTGTGAAAGCATCACAGCTTTGCCGATCTCAGAGTGTTAAAAGAAAAAAAATTCCTGTATCCGCATCGTGATCCGGAACATCACCAAAATTTACTGGTGTGTTATTTGGGCCAGTATCCACATGTGATAAAAAATGTCATGACAATCCGTCCACAAGTTTTTGAGTAATGTTGTCCACAGACAGAACAAAAGACAGACAGACATACACGACCGAAAACATTACCTCGCCCTTGGCGGAGGTAAAAATAGTTAGAATACTGTATCAAAAGTTTCTTCAATGGGATTAGTACACCCTGCTCGTCTGTTAATTTTCTTTTGGTGCTTCAGCTTCTTTAGCTGAAATGGTCACTTGCCTAAAGGTGTAAATATTAGGGTAAAAGTATTTATTTCATTGCCTTCTGATAGAGTTGTGTTCTCCTGTGCCTTCTGGAACAAGCTCGAAGGGGTGGAATGAGCAGCCCTTTTTTTTCAGGAAAAGAAGGGAGTAATGTTTACAGTATTCAGACTTTTGGGTTATATAATGTATTCCAAGAGATATATTCTATCAACATGTCAGGAAGACCTTTCTGGAAGCACTTCCTCTTCACCTCACTGATGAATAGTTAGAGTTATTGGTTCCCATTTTCTTTTCTTTTTCTCTCTCGCTCAGTTATCCTTTTTATTTTTTGACCAAATGGCTTCCTAATAAGTTGCAGCAGCGACTGCATTGCGTGGCTTGTGTGTAGTCACTTGTGTTGATATTGTGACCTCAGAATCACAACAGTGGGCGGTTCACTAAAACCCTCATGCAACCGCTAGCCACCACCACGCCCTTCACTCATGTTCGGTCAGGCCTTAATGCTTTCTTGAACACAAAACGGAGCAAAAAAAAAAGTATTGTTGGATATTTTAACTTTTGCACCTCCGGCATGGGAGGGCAAATGGATGGATGTACACCTGCTGCTGCAGTAGATAGTAAAACTCCTGATAATATTGTAGTTGTGCAAAGTTGTATGAAAGACACAGCTTTTTTAATGCAACTTTTTCTCTATTGAGTTCCGTAAAAAATATTTATAGTTGGACGACTCTTTTGTCTAATTTTCCAGTTCTCCTGATAGGGAAGACATTTATAGTTTCATATGAAGCAGGTGGACAATTGTTCTGTTTTGTGTTCTGCCCTTTGAACGGTTGTGTCTGCTGCGTGGAGATTTTACAACCCAAACCCACCAAGAGTATTTACTCTCTCCTTGTGATATGCACCTTACTGTTTAGATTAGGATATTGAGGTACAAGATGTGTGTGTATTTGTCTGTGCTGTATGTGGCTGTATGCTTTAAATATACAGCCCAGGACAGATTTACAGTGAAGACATAAAGCTCCACATGGAGTAGGCACATAAACAGGACTCGCTCACATGTAACACGAGCGCTGCTGGAAATGTGTGATGGTTCACCTCATGTTTTTTTAAGTTTAAAATGTGATCTGCATTCTGCACATGCCCAGAGCAGTTTCCTTGGTATGCTGAGTTTTGTGCTTGATGTCTGAAAGGGCAAAAAGCTCCGTGCTGCTGCTGCAGGAGTCCACTCTGTGATGACAGTGGAGGGTGACTGGGTGCATTTAAGGGCGCTGCCCAGAGCAGACAGACTGCTGCAGGCCACCGTTGTGCCATTAATGAATGTCTGTCTAGTCGATCGTCAATACAGTTTTCCTGCGGTGTGCTTTGCAAAGCTGCCATCGGTCCAGCGTGTCGACTAATTTAGCAGCAAGTCAGTGAAAGGGAAAGATTTGGGAGCTGGATGAATCAGGGTTTTTAAAAGCCAAAGACCACAATCTGATCTCGCTAATAAAAGGTAAAAACTATTTTACAACCCCAGCCATGATTTTATGATGCCATTATGCTGGCATTTACATGTTTAAATGTGAAATTAACAAATTACATTCAGATGTCTCTCACATTGTGAAGGCAGTAAAATGATGACCAGAAGTCTTTCACTCTTATTTCAACCAAAGCTTTTTCTGATGAATTTGAAAAAGTTTTGAATTAAAACAAAATTATGTTTTTTTTCTTAAAACCCTTAAAGGGGCAATATTATGTAAAATCAACTTTTTTGAGTTTTATATCTTGTTATAACAAGATATAAAACTCAAAAAAGTTGATGTTATACTCTCATAAAAAACATGCCCAAAGCCTTGCTTTGACTCATTCATGCATGTTTGAGAAATCCTGCAGTGTTTTTAAGCAGCCATGCTGAGGAGCAAAACGACAGGTGGGGACCAGAAACGCCTTTTGGGACCAGAAACGCCTCTGGGACGTGTCTTTAAGCCGAGCTTCCTCATGGCAGGGTGCCCCCACTCCCCACACGCCCCGCCCATGACTCCTGCAGGCTCTCAAACAACGGGTGAAACTGAAAGTGAAACTGAAACTGTCTGCTGAGCCCCACTACTTCTCACTCAGTGAAGCTCTTTTCAGATTCAAAATACCTTTGAGGAAATGTATTTTCTGATGCCAAGTAAACTGTATCATAGCGCGAAGCCCCCCACACACTGAAATGGGCGGGACAGAAGCGGAAGGTGGTTCTTAAAGAGACAGAGGCCAATTTCAAGGCGTTTAGAAGAGGAAGTGATGAGAAGATAAGTTTATTTTCTATTTAAACATAAAAACAGCATTTTAATAACAGCTAAAGGTGACATAGATACTTTATTATGGTATAGTATTTAAATGTATGCCTGAGAAACACATAATATTGCCCCTTTAAACAATTGTGCACTAAGAGCCAAAGCAGAAAGTAAGTAATGTGATGTGAGATCTATGTTCAACTGAATGTTATGGCATCATAGCACAGGTGATGTGTCCTACATTGTCCCTCATAAGCATCATTTTTGTCCCTCATTTGGTTTTTCAGGATCTGATTCATTTGTTTTGTCATTTAGTGAATTTTTTAAGGTCACAGGCTGTAGGCTTACTTAACCATGTTAGGTTTTATTTGTCAGTATGTTCAAAGCTTATATAAAAATTCTGTATTACTCTTATAGCTTTTATTTTGTTCAGTGTAGTTCTGACTTGCAAAGGCTGCATTTTTGTACAACTTGAACACCTGCTGTGTCAGCTTTAGGATGTCACAGGTGACACACCATCATTATTTACAACTGCCTCACACTGTGTGTGCGTGCGTGCGTGCGTGCGTGCGTGCGTGCGTGTGTGTGTGTGTGTGTGTGTTTGTTGATATAAACTTGTGCTCATGCAGTGTTTTCAGTGTTAGTTTTGAATGTGATCCAAGCAGAGAAAAGGCAGCAGAAACAGGTGGCTCCCTGTCGGGTTCAGAGCAGTCAGATGAAGACTGTTGGCCTCTCAGTGCAGCTTCCCTCCTTTTCAGACACAACAATAATAAGTGTGCGACAACAGGCTGGACATGGTATCATCTCAATTTCCTCTTCCAAATGTCTCATTTTCCCGCGCTCTCTGAAACGAAAACACGACGTCACCCGCTGGGTTTCCTCTCTCGCTTTCGTCCGTTGCTCCCCCATCTAGCCTTTCTTTGTTTGTTTTTATTT